CAAATAAAAAGCTTTCTTTTAGTACCAGAATCATTCAAATCACTCATGTACTTTTTAGGTTTTAAACTTCTGTCAACGGATGAGAACGCTTACTTTTTTGTGATCCGTGGACAGAACTTTAAAACGGTTTTTGTGTTTAAAATTCTGTAACTTGAAAAGTGCACAAGTGATTTGAATGATTCTTGTACCAAAATAAAGCTCATTAATTGGGCTTTCATATCTAGCTAGATTTTAAAAGTGCTACATGCAGAACTTCATCAAAAAAGTGCTCCTTCCATTGGGTGTTCTTTTTTACTCACCCTGTATAATGGCAGATTGAACTAATTCCCTGCTATTTGTTCAAATAAAAAAAAAACAACATGTTTGGCGTCCCCGCCGGCTTCCTTTTTGGGGGCCGCCTCTTTTTTGTTTTCTTTTTTTTTGGAAACATGAACAAAAAATGATAAATTTTAAACAGTGACATCGTTCTGGCCTCTTTGTCTGTTGCATCTAGCCCATATAAAGCTGGTTTGTCATTCCAGAGTCCAAGTGGCGGCCATTTAAAAAAAAGCTGGCGGCCATCTTGAAAAAAAAGCCCGGTCGGGCGGCCATTTTGGAAGGGAAAAAAAGGCCTCCTCCTTCTTTTTTTTCCAAAAAGCAGAACGCTAAACAAAATGTTTTTTTTCCCCTTGGCCTTACCGTCAGTTTGTAAATTCAAGCTATATAAACGCAGACCGGAAGGGTTTCTAAAGCAATTTCCAGAGTTGTAATGACTCGAGTCAACGACTCGACTCGAGTCCGACTCGAGTCACTCGACTCGACTCGACTCGAGTCCCTCAGGGTAAATGACTCGACTCGACTCGAGTCCCTCATCAGAATGACTCGACTCAACTCGAGGAAGGCTAATGAGACTCGAGTCCCAAAAATAAAAGCAAAACTTTGCGAAAAATATTTGCAATGACTTACGCCGGTGCCGCGGTTTTTGTTCACGTCACGTTAGAATGTTCACGAATAATGTATACATATGCATACCGGTACGTGGTTTGATCAGTGTCCCATTAGTTGAATGACGATCAGCTGGCAACCCCTTTTTATTTTCATTAAGAGGCAAATGTGGTGTCGCCACATGTAGTAGCCCGAATGTAAAATTTAAAAAGCCAAAAAATGACTTTCTCTCTTGTGTTTATTTATTGTATAGTGCTCAAATATTTGTGACTCGAATTGACTCGAGCTAAATACTTGACTCGACTCGACTCGACTCGACTACACACTGTGACTCGACTCGACTCGACTCGACCGTCTTGACCTAATGACTCGACTCGACTCGATTCACTTCTTTAAAATGACTCGACTCGACTCGAGTCACAAAAATCAGTGACTCGTTACAACTCTGGCAATTTCTTATACTGCAATGGACATCTTCCATGATACCAACAGTTCCTTACTCCCTATATAACCGGATCAGGGGTTTCTATGACATGCAAACTGGCAGGTGATTCCTGTTTGCCTTTATTGATGCCAATCCACGATTAATGTAAATCTACGATTAATTTATCAGCTAAACAGGATTAACGTGAATCACCCTTAATTCGCTTAATATTAACAATCCCGTGATCGATCCCATTTAGTTAATGCGCAGAGATTGTTTGTACGCTTTAGTTTAGCACTGATTATAATAATGGATTAAATGTGATTTTAATTGACACTTTCGAGATTGTTTTGTGGAAGATGTGACGTGTTGTATCATAGTGAATTGAATAAACCCCCCGTTGAAAGGGCCAGGAAACAACATTGTGAACCTGCAATGTTGAATGCAATATTATAAAAGAAACTCCGGACTTTTTTTCTGACATCAGACACATTTGACCATACTTTCCCCCCTACATTCCGTCGCCGTTGACCAATTCGATCCATGACCCTGCCACTGCACTGCAGTACCCAAAGCAGTATACACGTATTCCAGACACACACGTACATCTTACAATGTTCCCAAGTAAAGTATCGTATACTGTATAACATTAACACATGAAAGGTTGTATTTAAAGGTAAGGGACACCGTTCGCCAAAAAAATATATAGGGCCTATATATATATATATATTTTCCGATTCAAGGAACAACGGTACAATAAATGTGAAACAGGTTATTTAAACTTAACTGTCCAAATTTGGGATCAATAGATCAATAGATAATACTTTTCGGGAAAACAGTGACCATTCATCTGCATTTTCTGGACGCAAACAGTGGCGTAAGTACGTGTCGGCGAGTGGGGAGGATGGGGACTGACCAACGGGGAAACAATAGTATTGACCGGCCGCTGAATTTCGAGGGGGTGGTGGTGGTGGTGGTGGTGGTGGGGGGGGGGGGGGGGGGGGGGGTTCGGGGGGGGGGGGAGATGGCGGTGGCGGGAGATGGGAAGGGGAGGGGGACCACAAATGAGACACTAGGGGGCGCTGTTCATGATACACATGCACACGTTGTCTGCGTACCCTTGCATAATTATAAACAGTGCCTAGTAAGGTTTTGTAATGTTTGTTCTCCGTTTCCAACATTACTAAAAAGGTTCTGACCGTTGAAAATTTAACTTCAGCATTTTTTGTCTTACCATTTAAATATCGGTGGTGGGGGGGGGGGGAGGGGGGGGGGGGGGAGATTAGAGGACCATCCGCCCCTGGCCAACAAGTGGGGGTATTTACGCCCATGGATGCAAAGAAGGTTCCCTTGAAAGCCATTTCGTTCTAAATGTTCAATACAATTTGACTTGCATAAGTTGCATCCTCGTGTGGTGTAATCCCAGTGTGTCACTCGGGAAAATAATTCTCATTCTCGGATTGCAAACTACACTATAAATTCAGTCACTCGGGACATTTTGTTTTGTTTTTATCTCTTAGGTTGTTTTGCCCAGGCTAACCATCGCGAGAAAAGATAGTAATTCCTCTATTGTTGAAAATGACGGTATTAAGGTCCAATAATTTCACAGGATGCTTGATCTTTATTATTTATTAATGAGTACATGTATGCCAATCAAGTACAGTATTTCATAGTATTTCGGCAGTTTTGTCCTTGAATGTTTGCGTAACCTCTAAGCATACGGAATGATTAGGACGTTTTCATTTTTTCCTTTTAAACATTCATATGTTTTTTGCAATATATGTACATTGCATTATGAAAAATGTCATCACCCGGGCCGACACGGGTAAAGGCAGACGAGTCAGTCACGACAGACGGGCTCAACCGCGTGCCATCACGATCCTCACGTGACGCCCTTGGCCGTGGCCGTAGCCACTGACAAAACGCCCGTTTCCGATTGGGTCTTACTTTGAGATTTACCGCTTTTTAGTCAATTACAAAACTTCAAAAGTTGGGCTGAAATTATAGCCTCAAAAGTCGCAATGAACTCAATAAATTATTACCTTTTGACTTCAAAAGTCAACTTTTAAGTCCACTTGAGATTTCTGCTGTCCGACCGCCATATTTGTCCGAATGAACAACGCATGCGTGACGTACTTCCACCAGTGACTCTGCTCCACGACTTGAAACCTCCCTTAAGGTCAAATGACCGATTATTAAAGGACTGAGATAGCAAAAGTTTTATAATCAATACACAAACAGAATTTGATGTTCAAAAGGGAATGTCGAAACATCTCTTCTCTAACATCTCTGCTTACAGATCTCTTCATAATTGCTTATGAATATTCTGCATGCGTGTTGTGGATTATTTTAATTCAGACTGAACCCATGCATGTTGTGTTGATGACTGGTGTGATACACAGCCATAAGAATCGGTCAAGGCTATTTTTTCTGACCGCATTATCCCGAGAGGGAGTGTTGTCTAAAGTGGTTAGGGTTTGTGACTCATGATCAAAGGGTCAGGGGTTCGAATCCAGCTGCTGGCCATATGTTGTGTCCTTGGGCAAGCCACTTCACCCCCACTTGCCTCTCTCCACCCAGGAGTATAAATGGATACCGGCAATAGCTGGGGAGTAATCTCGATGGACTACCATCAAGTCCAGGGGGAAAAGAAATATGCTTAGTCGTTTCATACTACTGAAACCGGAGATAAACACCGGCCAAACACATTGGCTCGTGACTTTTCTACATTATCCCGAGATGGTCCCGTAAAAGCAATGGACTGCAAGTCTCATCAATGGCTCCCTCAATTTGTGGTTGTCCATGCGATGTGAGGGCGTGTCGGCCTCAGCCTACGCCAACTCGGGCTCCCCAGATCCGACGTCTCCACTCCTCCCTGTTTAGCATGACCGTCCTATGATATTCACGTAGTCTAGTCCTGTGTCTCGCCGCAGCACGTGGATGTAGGTGTGACGTCCCATTCCTGTACTAGTGGCTCCCACAAGATCGTTTGTCTTGAGGCAAGCTCTGGGTGTCTGACAAAGTGACCCGCCAGCCCCATTCTTCTCTCCCGGACCTTTGCAGACAGGCACTGTTGGCAGGCCGGCGTACAGGTTTCGCACGTGATCCTGCCAGGACCCGTCGAAGGCCAACCGCAACAGGCGGGCACGTGCACCCCGTCCAGCGTATTCCGTTGCATGTGCAGTGAACATCCACGTCTCTGCTTGATACGGCAACACAGACTCAACCGTCAAAACGAAAAGACGTCGTTTGAGGTCATCGCACATCTTTGACTTCCACACCTTCTTCATTCCATGCAGCGCCGAGGTACTTAAAGTCCTACCTTGACAACCACCCGTCCTTAGCAGCAACGGTGGTGTTTTCAGTGTTAAACGCCAGCTTTGTCTTTTTGGAGTTTAGCTGCAAGTTTTGGCCTTTTTGTACTCATCCACGGTGAAGGAAACATCGTGTATGGGGAGGTCATAACAGACAGGGGCCATCGGTTCATTTTCGTCCGAATCTTCAGTTGTGTTACCAAGGAGATTTCTTTAAGTGTGTGAACTCTTCTGCACACTTTCTACTTGACTAGAACGACCTTCGGCCACAGACGACGTTGATGAGCTCCCAGCTCTGCCACTGCCTCTAATTGAAGTGCCCCTCTTCTACATCAACAATTTTTCGAGCCAGCTCCTCCTCTTCCAAAAGCACACATGTGCCTCCCACACAAATTATCAGTGCTTCCCAATTGCCCCACAAAACATCTGAAATATCCCGCTTGCCATGGAAGTGCCTTTTTAAAGTATGTTTGAGTTATCAAAACGAACACTATTTGACTTCCCTGAACTGCCACGGCTTCATGAAAAGAAATGAAAGCGGCGAAAGCGCCCTCAAAAGAGGTCCAGCCCCCAACGCCCCGCTTTTCGAATCATTGCAGCACTTGCATTGGCCTGGAAATTTGGTGGGAAATGTTGTTGTTGGGTCCACCCTTGGTGCCCCCTCGTAACATGCTGGTCCCCCTCCATGGGCCCCCACTGAAAAATTCCTGGCTACGCCACTGACACAGACCCCGCGAAGCTCCTCTTTCTTCCGTTTTACAACTCCTTGTGCAACCGTCGCCACCCATGTTGATGACGAAGGCGTCGTACGCAGTCCTCATCTTCTTCCTAGCCTTCGTGATCCTGGGGTCGAGACTCCGCTCCTTCTGCCGCTTGTTGATTCGCCTCACCGAAGCGCTGGTAGCGAAGCGCTGAAGAGCCAACCAACAAACACCTTTTCTCGACATGTACGACAGTTCTGCAAAGGTTGTCAGTCAGCTGCTGTACAGTGCACGGCCTATTTTCTGTTAATCATTGGAATGTTTTGTGCTGTGCTGTCTACATTAGTCGATGTTGCTACCGCAGTAAGGGACGTGCGCCGAGTACTGTGGTTGCAGCCACCACTAGTAAGAGGGGCTGTCTGCGAGCTCTCATTAGACCGTTTGAGACGCTGGTATCGCTGGGTCAATAGAGTCGATATGGTGTACAGATAGGGGTTTATGGAAGAGTTGATGGGAAGGACAAATACCATAGTCCAGGCGTATGTCTTTACCGGAATCGTCACGGCTCCAGTCTGTGACAACAGGCCCATGATTATGATAGGCATCCAGCAGGAAAAATTAGTGCCCACGATTAACGCCATCTTGATCGCCATTTTGACCTCTTCGTCACGATCCCGCCTCCTGGTGGCGCCCTTGGAGGAGCGTTTGACGGATACAAAAATGGCGACGTAGCAAGCCGTGATAATGACGAAACAGACGAGGCTGACGACAATGAAGAGAAAGATTGCGTAATAAGAGGCTGGCGTCTTCTCGTCCATTTCATCGAAGACAAACGTGAAGGTCAGATTGTCTGTTTCATGCCAGGATGCCTTGTAGTCTGACTTGGTGGCCAGTGGCAGTCCCACGCATACATCGGAAAGGCCGTAAAACCCGGGCACGTATTTCTCGATGACATTCGGAAGGAGGCTGAAAAAGGCTGACACTGCCCATATGATTGCTACAGTGATCCGTGCAGACCTGACGCGCAACCTAAGGCTGCCGTAGGGAAAAACAATACAGAAGCACCTGTCCAGACTGATAACGGTGATGATAAGAGTGGAAGCCTCACTGGACATCACTGATATAACGCCAGCTAGCTTACACAGTGGGGCTGAACGCCACTGTACAGCGTATAGAAAGTAGTCCTGACCGAAGTGTACGTCTGCACTGCCGATCATGACCATGTAAACACCCATCAGTAGGTCAGACACGGCGAGGTTCAGGATCAGGAAAATCTGGACCCAGTTGTGAGGCTCCTTGTGTCTCTGCTTGTACCGCCAGAAGATGACAAAGATATTGCCCACCACGGCGCTGAGACCAAGGATCCACATAAACATGCGCAGTACTGTACGGCGGAGTAGGCCCTCACAGGTGGCGAAAGGTGATGGTGGGGTGTGGCACTCTGTACTGACATTGAGAAGACAGCAGAACCGATGATCATCGGCTGAACTAAATCAAAAGAAAGTTAAAATAAAAGGAATCAAACGTTTCAGCGCCAAACTAAGACAATCCCATTAAGGCAAGTATACCAGGCAGGTATATTCCTGCATTATTTCTTTGAAGGCAGAGCAGCCAATCTTCAGGAAGGGATTACATATCAAAATCGTGAGTACCCATTCGTAATTGATACTTTGGAACAGTAATCGGATGATGCACGAGATGGTTGTTCAATGCAATGGGTCCGTAACAATACGTAAACCGTGATCTGTCATTAGGGATTTCAGGAATACTTCGACTACAGCAGCACTATCAATAAAAACAGTGGACGGTGTACTTACAAAGAGTTCAGTGACTCTAACCCCTCAAACATCTCACGCTGCAGATCAGAAATCCCTGCCTCCATCAAAACCCTACAATAAATATAGCAAGACAAAAAATAAGCAATTTAAGGGACAATAAAGGCATTCTAAATGTATGTTCTATTGTCCATGTTTTCATCAATAATCGATGTCCAATTCATTTGTTAGGGTGTATACATTGTTTAATTTGGCCAAAAAATATTCGGAAATGAAATTTGAAAAAGGACTATAAACAGCAAACAAACAGTACTTTTGAAACCAAACTTATAAAAATGGCATTTCATTCATACTGATTTTATTTCTAAAGTTCAACTTACATGTAGAACTCGTATATTCTTGACAGGCCGGTGAAAGCACCTTTCTCAATGATAGTGATGGGATTTTCTGACAGATCGCTACCAACAAATAAGGAATTCATCACATTTATGCTCAAAACAACTGTTACATATCGTCACGGTATTTTCATTTCTTGAAAATTTCTGCTGGACAATAGATGAATGATTGTACCTATCGTTACCATGCATCAGGTGATTATATAGTGCGTATGGAGGGGGCTGCGACAAGAATGGATATTGAGCTAACTATAGACTTCTATGCAGCGGCTTTCTTCTTAGATAGAGGTTTCCCATTTTCTTGAAAAAGTTGCATCATTTAAATTCAATGGAAAGATAATTCAATTTCGTTCCAGAAAGTTGATGGGCTCCATTGTTAATTCTGATTTGAATTTACACCAATATATTTCATATTTGGTCCACTGTAATTTGTGAATGAAGCATTTCGTTTTGGGAAGTTCTTGTTGAATTGAAGAAAAGTATTGTCTGCCATCCTTTCCACGATCGAGTCTCAGAAACGAGTGACAAGAAAACGCAGAGATACCCAGATATTGTATAGGCCTTCATTGGCTATAAAATGCAAAGAATGCACCGTCTAAATTTAAATGAGCAAAGCGCTAAAATGAATTACCAACAAAAAAATACTTGCATTTTCAATGCAACGCCGATCGCCAATTGAAACGAATTTACCGAAATTAGGACGAAGTAGAATGTTACAAATTGGTGGCTATTTGAGTTTGAAATTAAGAATTGAGCTCGAGATGTTCTGGAACGAAATTAAAGTATCGTTCAGGGGAATTCGTGTGATCTAAGTGTTAAACTAACTGGGAAAATGAACCTAATTAATACCGGTTTCTCAATCTCTGAAAAGAAATCAGCTTTGTAAACTCATGTTGTTGAGACGGGTCACACATACTTACAGGTACTCGAGCCGGTGCAGGCCGCTGAACGTGCCATTTCGCAAGAACCTGAGATTGTTCAAGTCAAGGTGCCTGCCCATGAACCAGATACAAATATTTTTAAAACAGATGAACGCAACACAGAGGGGATTGACTTCCGAATCATTTAAACTAGTGACCAAATATATTTTCTTATAAATTTCACTGTGCGATGTGCCGCACTGTTATGCAAGCGTTCCGGCTCTTCAAATCTTAGTATACACCGCTGACATGATCACCCAGCCGAGGAATTAATTACCATATCTGAAAAAAGAGGGCGCTGTAACGACGCCAATATACAACTAAAGGAATGAACTGTCACGCTAGACCTGGGTGTAGGGCAGTTTGGAGGAGCGAAGTCTGTCCTTCCGATAAAGTCTGTCCCGCGTCGTCAATCACTATACGTCCTCATTCGCTAAAATATGGCCTATTTAAGTAACACGTATACGGAGGTAAATAATTGGGGTCGGTGAACAGTAAGCATGGTGCTTCCACCGCTCAGATATCTCCTTCACCACCATCTTTCCACAACGTCTAGCTCAAAGCGTTCAAACTGACGTTTGAAACTATAATACTTTCATATTTCGTTGAGGACATCTTCATGATCCAAAACAAAATATTCTTCACCTGATTTTGGGGGTATGCTGTGGTTGCGGCATTGCTGAGCGATTGGTATTTGTCATTCACTTTTGTTTAAAATAGTCGTGCACCAAAATAACTGGCGGCCCTTAAATACTCACAGTGTTTGCAAATAAGCGAGCGGTGCAAATACACCAGGAATCAGGTCCGTTATGTTGTTCTCGCTCAAAAATCTGGAATCAATAACACAATCCTTGTGACAAAAATAAATCGCCTATTATTATATAATAGACGAGGCATAGTCTTATGGAATCGCCAAGTAAGTAGTACTCCTACGCATGAGATTCTTACGCGCGCGATGCCGGTGGATATGGAAATGTGTTGATATGAATTGGTGCGTCCACTAAACACAGGGTGACCATAAAAAGTTGTGCGAGCAGACATCTTTAAATTTCTCAAAAAGTATCCAGCATCAGTGTTTGATGTTGACGGAGTATACTGTTTGTACTTTTGTGTATAATCACAGCGAAAATAATAATGACAATCCATACATGCAAACCGGAGATACCACAGATTATAAATGGCAATGTGTTTTTCACCCGTTCCAATGTGATTTACACAGTTAAAAAAATCCATTGCAGAGTGCCGGTTGAGGAATTTTCAATGCAATGTGCAATTCCCATTGGAATGGTTGAAAAACATGTATCCGTTTATAATCTGTTACAGCTCTGGTCTGCATGAATGGGTTTCCTTGACATTTTCACTAATCAATACGCTCCATCAAAATGAAATACTCATGTAAGGTATAATATCCTTTTTTAATTTTTTTAATTTTTTTTTTATAGAAATTTAACGATATCTGCCTGCACACTTTTTTTTTGATCACCCTTAAGTCTCAACACTGGATGCGCATTGTTGGTAACTTCCATGTTGTAAAGTGATTGATGAAACAGCGCACAGAAACCCGAGGCTAGGATCTCTCACTAGTTCCCGTCCTCTCTTCTACAGGGCGTTTTTTCAAACATGTAATCCAAATATAATGGATTACAATCTTAAAATGATGATTGGGCTTCTATACACACGTGGGCGTAGCCAGGATTGTTTCTAGAGGGGGGCAAAGCACATTCCTCCCGAAATCCCTGTACCTTTCCAGCATATTCTCGATTTATCATTTTTCGAAGGGGGTGGGCCATTTGTCCCCCAACCCATAAAATTAACAGCAATATGACTTCTTTCCCCCTTTTTGTGCTTTTCGGGGGGGGGGGGGCAAGCGCCCCCATTGCCCCCCTCCGCAACGCCCATGTATACATACTTTTATGTGTATTTGCATCAGGGTGGTTTATTCCCCAGCTGTCCCCTGATATTCTACTTGCACCCCTGCAGTCTCGTTGAAGTAGGATATGGAAAGTTCATAAACCGTGTTACAACTGATAATGTAGTAACCAACTGATAATGTATCACCGACCGATAATGTCACACAAATTGACCGATAATATATCACTAACCGATAATGTAACAGATATTGTAGTACATGTTACTACACTATCAGTCATTATTTGTTACATTATCGGTTAAGACAGATAATGTAACAACAATTGACTGATAGTGTAGTCGGTTAGTGATACATTATCGGTCAATTTGTGTGACATTATCGGTCGGTGATACATTATCCGTTGGTTACTACATTATCAGTTGTAACAAACCGTCCTTTCAGATACAACTGCACTGACACTGTTCAATTTCATCATTTCAACATACATGTACTAACATATTACTTTGGGGTTATTTCTTGGACACACCCTGATGAAGGTTTACACATATCGGTCGATAGGGGAATCACTTATCCCTCTTGACATTAAATCATTGTCAGCAACCGTAAATTAAACAAAAAGATAGATAATAAATAGACTTATTAAAAAAATACTTACAAATGCTTCAAACTTAGTAAACCCCGAAATGCGCCGTATTCAATTGCCTCGATTGTATTTTTCTTCAAATTCCTGTAAATATGAAAGAACAGTATTCGGCGCAAGAATTCACTTTATGAACAAATCCGCTTATACTATTTTTTTTTGGATAAGTAATTACGATTTTGAGTGATTAATAATAAGGGGTCCATATAATAGTGATATTATTCACTGGGAGTCAACTAGATGTCGCATGGCATATAGTTTTAGCACTGTCGCCTATGGGTCTATGAGCTGCACAGGTAATTTTACCCAATGGCTCATTGATGATGCTTTGGAATAATTTCGGAGTAATTTGAGAATTATAGCTTCCTGGCGACAGTGACGGGGTTTTTGTTCAAGGATACTTCATGCTAATTGATAAAACCGTGATGAGTGGCAGCCATATCGCGATTCTCTGCAGCATACCCTTGCTAATATTACTGGCTTTGTTGAAATATGATGCCTGTCAATTGGTAACAACGAGAATTGAAAGATTTGGAGGGAAACGACAGGCTATCTTCACTAGATATCACAGTCTCACAGACGGCTGTTTAAGAAACGAACTTTCAAAAAATCCATGCACTTTACAAAAGGAGACATTAATTACATGTCAAGTGAAACCTGTGTTTGGGAAATATGCCTTGTTACGCAGCCAAGGTCTGACGGTTAATAACAACATTATCATTTCAGAAGGAGTTAATGATGAGTGCTCATTTTGAGATTGCTTAGTCCTGTTTTGGACAATGTGAGTTTCGTGTAGACAATATTATTTTGTGCCCTAATGTTTATCGAATTTATTCAAATATATAACTAATTGGTTACCTTGTTCCTTTGCCCATGTTTCGCTTGAACTATACACACCTGCTTAACTGTTCTTGCGTTAGCTTCTCAAAAATGTCTCAATATTACTCCTGGCGAGTGCTTGATTGTTTTTGTTGCCCATGGGCATATACTCAAGGTAGGCTGAAGTTTGAATCTGTCTATCCCGAACGAATAGCTACATGCAATTCAAACTTTTTCTTTAATGCTGTTAATAACTAATAATTAACAATCTACTTGTAATCATTATTTTGAGGGCAAGTAAATTATTAACTACACACAATCATACTGTCAGCGGCGTAGCCAAGGAGGGGTGGGGGGGGGGGTGAGGGGGGTGAGGGGCACGCCCCTATACAAAAAAATCGAGCCAGCCAGTAGGCCCCACTGGAAATTTGTTGGTGCTACCAGTGACCATGGTTAACGGGTTTAACAGAAATTGCCCCCCCCCCCTAATGTAACATCCAACACACCCCACTCGCCCCACTATGGTGAGAACCCTGGCTACGCCGCGTGACACAATGTTTGCAAGAAACGATGAGAGACAATGTATTTATCTTTTTCGGGAATGGGACTTAGGGATGGATTTTTACCCGAAAGGATTGAAAAACCATGAATTCTTAAGATTGTAAACAATCTTATGCAGCATGTTAAAAGCAAATTTATATCAAAATGTCTCTTGTGAGAAGCGAGTAACATAATCCACGCATGTATTAAATTCAAAATAGCACCTATGTCATTCATCTGATTACATGGAAACATATTTAGCGCTTTGTGACTCATTGTCAAAGAGAACAAAAGATGAAATCGACTTACAATATGTCCAGCAACTTTAGCGGTAGGAACACATCGGCAGGCAAAGTCTTCAGTACATTTTCATCAAGATGACTGCAACATAACGAGTGATGGCAATTCTTGTCAATATTGGTTGCAATAGACGATTGCTGTCCAACACCGTGCCTTATTAGAAAGCTGTCTATGTGCCTATGATAGAGCGCCAGTTAGTCTAAAACAAATCAACATTTTTGGGGGTTGTTTGTTTGTTTTGGTTTTAATATACCGTTGAATCAGAGGCCTTCAGCAAATACGCCTGGGTATTTTTTTTGCTTTGTGTTTGCTTTGGTTTTCTTTTCATTATTTGTTGCTTTTAAAATTATTTTGCTGGCTTAATTGGCTTGATTAATTGATAATTCATTATTTCAACTGAAAAGAAAAGGATTACAACCCCACATTTTAGAGATACGATGCCTTCCGCTGGCACGGTTTTATGATCGTGCCTTTATTCCCTACAAGCCCATCCATACTTGGCCCTGAAGTCTTTCAGTTTTACATGTAGCAAAACGTTTTTCCCTGACCATTTTAAACATATTTTGCAACGATTTTCAACCCCTTTTTTACGCTTGCTGAGAACCCTAACTATTTGCACCAGTATATAGGTGCATGTCTGCCATACTAATATCCTAATACTCACAGTTGCTGAAGATTACGCAACCCGGCAAAGACATCAACTGGGAGGTCAGTCATGGCATTTTCGGACAGAAATCTAACAGATAAATCAAACGAAACACAGAGCTTTTGGAATTTTGAGGTTTTCTACATAAAGACTTTTCGACTCATCCATGTAATTCACTGGATACAGGATGAGAGGAAAGATTCTTTTGTAACATTTTGAAAGGAAAGATAACTTACAAAGTTGTCAACGCAGCCATGTCTTGGAAACTTCTGGGCTGAACTGTAGTAATCCAATTGTTGTAGACTAATCTGCAGAGACGGAGAGACGATTGTCAAACATAATAGCCGTTTGCGTCTTTCTTTTGTCTACATTTAGCGCCAATTGGTATTGGAGGCCATCACTTCGAATTTTAACATTTTCTATTTTTTCCTATTTCAACAGTTTCCTAACAACTTCATTTTCCCTTTTTGTTTTGGAAAACTTAAAAAAATTTTTTTTGGGGGGGGGGGGCTTCCTTTGTACATCTTTGCAAGTAGATTGTTTTTGCGGACCCTATATTATCGATGCTAATTGGGGCGCAAACCAGTCCTACCTGCAAAAACTGAATTTTTATCTCGCAGCAAATAATTTGAAATTGGACAAGTAATGATTTCATACCCAAATGTGTACCGATGTTTCCCCTATACCTGTCATTCAAATGACAACAACCTTTGTATTAGAAGAAAAGGCAATGTTTAAAAGTAACTCTAACGTTGCACGAACGGTACATCTTTATCGTAGGATACTTAATTATATTGAAAAAAAAAACCTTTAGTAATGTGATATAAATATCAATTTTTATTACTGTAAACTATGATTGGATGGCCACTAATTTTGGTCTGTTTCACTTACAATGTGTGAACGTATTTCAAGCCAGGAAAAGACTCCTCGTCCAGGTGACCAATTCTAATCTGCACCAGAGTCCTGTCCAAGACAAAACAGATATTGGTCTGTACAATTAGGATGTATTATTAATGGATTAAATAGAGGTTCGTGGGAGAAAAAACAGCACACATAGAAGCCATGATTCAATGGTTATTATCAATAATCTCAATGGTTTATTACGACTCCATAGATTTATTTCAATCAGACAAAAAAACTTGTGGCATTTATAGTGATTAAGAATGACACTTCTGTCGATGACTGAACACTTCTCTTACACGCACGGCCAATGACTTAGTTAATATTTGTACGCCACCCTGTATCAAAAATGGGACTTTATTTTTCTTAATCATTACCTACCGCGTCATGCCTGAACAAAGGAGCTAATAATGATAATAACGCGATCAGTTCACAGATTAGAACAAAGACCGTGTACATTATTTTTTTATAGACTGCTACTTTATTCGGTTTCAGACGATCCCATCAACTACTTTGAAAGATGAAGCCATCGCATCATCTATCTTGATCCGATGTTCTTAAATGGCTCAGCACAATGAACCTCGGCTTCAGTGCTAATCTATCAATGCATTCAATACCACTGGGAAAACCAACGGACTTCTAAGTGATTAGTTTAATTCCCAGTCGGTGCGCCGCGGCGCACCGAAATAAAATCACGGTCTTTCATAATCCATCGACTAAGCCTACCGGCGTATACAGTTTTGCCTTGAAGCTCCATCTTGTTGACAACGTATTTCAGTATTAGATCTAGGGGGAGGGGGGGGGGCAGGTTTAAAAAAAAAAAATCCCCAAAGGACATAAGCAAATGTGGTGTACGCTATCAGGTTTTGGACTTTACCTCCCTAAAAACATAAGAAAAAAATATATAAAAGAAATAAAGAAATGAATTCGAACCTAATTAAATTCGGACTTTATTTCCCTTAAAAAAATAATCCTTTAAAGCTGCAAATTAGAAAAGAAAAAAATGGAAAAATGTAGTTTTTAACTCACACCCTCCGATCTCAAACCAATACTTTGTCCAGCTGAGCCATCGCAGAGCTCGACAACAAATCGTAATTCATGGCATTATATACCTGCGTACGTATAATATAAGTATCGTAGAGGGCGCTCAACAACCACCCAAACGATGTTGTTTGCGCAAAATAATTCGCGGGCGGGGTTTGGTTGGAGTGGGTGTGTGTGAGGGGGGTTGCTGGAACCGCTGACTAATGTTTAAAAAAAAAACTAGTAAAATGGGGCCAAAAATAATAAGTGGAATGCTAAGGTTCCTAAATGTATTATTGCTTTGCCTTAGGAATCATCGTGGATTTCAAAATTGTCCAGGGCATCCCCCGGACGCCTTACGACTCAGACCCCCTTTTTATCACCTCCTTTCCTGAAAGCTAGATCCGCCCCTGTGTTTAGTTAATTGAGCTTAAGTTTCTAGCTTTTTCCCCCCTTTTTCATGTCCGTTCCTCCTTGTCATCGCCCGCCCAATCCGCATTCTACAAAGAAAGTTCTTCGTTTTCCAAACTATTGTCACTCGTTCACAACAGCAATAATTTTGACTTTTAATTATACGAATGATTTCGAAAAAAAATTGTTCTCGCTTTCAATGGGAAAACTGGTTGTGATGGAATACTGTCCATCAAACACATTTTGACGTCTACGTCCATACATTTGAGAAAATTATACCACATTTAGTATGATTACTCGACCCAGATCCGCAATAGAAACAAAGAATCAAATGGAAAAGTTAGTCAGGAACGGGGTTTGGGATATACAATTAAAGTTCAGCCTATATTTAGTTACATGGTTAGGCTCGGGCTACATATATATTAAGGTACATGTTAAAGGTAACAATGAGGCCACGAGCTACAATAAGGTGCAGAGTTTGGGCTCGGGCTATATATTATCCCTAAAAGGGCCGGGGCGGAATCCGCCCCCCCCTCGACTTTTTCCGCGATAGCCTTGAAAAAATTTTTCCGCCACCCGAGCTGTTATGACTTTTTAGCCTCGAGCCTTGCGCATCTTTTGATACCAATAGCATAAAAATCTTCGCTACGCGCCGTGAAAACTGAATTTTCCCATATACGTCGTGTACACAGAGCAGAATTACCATTCGTACATATGAATAATTAATTAGCCATAATTCCAAAACTCTTTGACCTATAGTTATGAAATTTCTTGGGTATGTTTATAATGAGTTGATCTATGCATATACCGAGTTTCAAAATTTTTCGTCACTCGATGGTTGAGATCTTAGGGGGGCCGCCCCCCCCCGGCTGAGAGTTGGTCAAAATAACCGGCACTTTTAGGGTTAAGGTACAGGTTATTATAGGTAACAATTAGGCCGGAGCCATGTTAAGGTATGGGTTTGAGATACAAGTAGTTGTCGGGATATACAAAAAAGTTAAGGGTAGGGGATACAAATATTAAATTTAGTTTCAGGGTTGGGGGTACAATTAGGGCTAAAATATATTTAAGTAGAAAGCTGCGATATTTAGGATCCAGGCTACCTTAAGGTGCAAAACGGTTGGTCACGGGTGCATTTAGATACCGCACATATGGTTGTAAGCATCAACAATAGGCCTATGGGATGATTTAAAGAAACCTGATCCGAATCAAACAGACGTGAGAACTTTTTAATCAAGGTTGCGTATGGTATGGAAAGCACGTTTATGAGAATGGAATCTGACTCACAAGATCTTGAGCTGTTTGAACTCAGCAAAGTCCAGATGGATGCTGTCTTTCACTGATAGTGATGTAGTAGTTGTAGTACTGGCATCAACTTGACTCAAGTTAGAATAAAATTTCCCAAGATTCATGGCGAGGCTGCAGACGGAATCGAAGAAAATGCATTTCATTTCTCAAAAACCCTTCATAATTATGTGTTTATTTAGTCCATCCTTAATAAACTGCATGTCCTCCAAAATTAAATTCATCGTCGATGTTAGTATTAATAGCCCTTGTTTCATGTGCGTTTAAAATAACTGTTCATCAATTAAATTTCTTCTGAGGCTATTTCTCATTGAAAAGCATTTGACAATTGGGTACGATGATTTTACAACTGATTCCTAGCTCAATACTTTAATTTGCAATGGAGAAAGAGCAATGAAAGTATTATTTCACTGCCTGCAATAAACTCCACATACTTCATTTATTTGATTTCTTTCCAAATGAGATAACCACAACGTCCATGTCGGATGTAAGAATGGTCTTACTTTGCCTTGGCCGGGCAACTTACTACAATTATTTGTTTTGTATGTGAGTGATGAAACTCACAGGTTGACGGTGTCTCTGGAGACCCAACTTGCTGAGGCCTCGTCCCACGGAACACTGGAACACACGAGATTGTAGCCTCCACACCGACACTGGAATGGGCAGGGCTCGCCTGGGTCAGTCAGTAAGACAATAATGACAATGTAACCTGCTGCTATCTGTTTCTCTACAAAGTGAGAGTTAGAAATTACTTAATCGTCTAGAATCAAGAACCAAGCCTTCAGTATTACCGAGTACAAATGTATTAGAAGTGCAGTCACAAGATGTTGGTTGTTTAAACCCATGGAGAGACGCCACTCAAGACAATGAGCCCCATCCTCCCTCTTAAATCCCCCGAGTGACCGTAGATATTCGTGATACGATACAATTAGATCCTCTTGTCTATTGGCACATTCAATGAAACAAGAGCGAAAAAAATATATTACTGCATCCTAGCTCGTCGCCACCACCAGGGCATTCAGCCTTCCCATCACACACCGCGCTGATATTGACGCATGCGTTATCGGTTGCGCACAGAGTCCGTCCCACGCAGGAACCGTCATCAGGAATCTCTGCGGAAAAGTAAAGAAAACAACATCATATTTAACCAGTTTTCTTGTGTCCAACTATGAAATAATAAGGTTGTCAAATTGTCAGGTTGCTCTGCAGTCTGTAAGTTGTGTGTTGCGATGCGCATGCACGTTGTCCCAGAACAGGTCACCACTACGCGGAAAACAATTTCCTCCAATTATGGTGAAATGGATGATTAAAAATGCGTTTTAAACAAAAAGAACACGCCTTTTTAATTAATAGAACTCCAGTATTACACCTTTGTATACCGTTAACCTTTTTCTTGAGTCTTTGTATTGCCATTTCTGAGGATCAGAGTTGTAATGACTCGAGTCAATGACTCGACTCGAGTCCGACTCGAGTCGCAATTTGTGGTGACTCGACTCGGCTCGATCATAACATCACTGCAACATAAATACGATGATATATCCGTCACGTTCCTTGAATTTTTTGCTCAAAATTGAGGATTTTCCCACTTGCAGTTTTCAATAGCAGGTACTTATTTCAAAGGTATGCTTTCTGTAGCTGATGTGTTTGGGTGAATAATGAATCATTCGGATATTCAGTGGGATTTATCGGACGAAAACGATAAAGAAAATGTCTGTCTGGGGATGATTGTGTCAAGTCGTCCCCTGACCGAGTTGCCCCAGATTTTCTCTATTTACTTACCTTTTTTGTACCGTTATTTTTTTTTAGAGTGGCTATAGGGGGCCTAGGCCATATACTGGTATAAAGTTTCACACACAATTTTGACCAGTCCAAGACATATTTGTTTTGAGGGTTCAGACCCCCTGAAATTGATTTCTTTGTGCGTACCTGCTTCTTGGGACCTATTGAATTATTCCAGCTGATTTTTTTGTAATTTTTTTGGGTCTGCTGGTGGCTCCTAAAACCTCAGAAATAAATAACAAAATCCTGGGTTTCATTATTTTTGGGTCAAGACCTTTTATCAAAGGAAAACAGTTCTAGACCCGAAGCGAAACCAGATAGCCTTTAAGACCGACGTTTCACTTCTTGTTAACTGTTATAGTGACTTTCTTGTTAACTGTTAGCGACTTTCTCTCTTTTATTGGTCACATGTTCAAATAATCGTGACTCGAATTGACTCGAACTTTATATTTGACTCGACTCGACTCGACTACACACTGTGACTCGACTCGAGACTGGTTACCAGACTGCCCTACATTTCCTTCGCGCGGTTCGATTATTGAGGGCCAAAATGTTGTATCCCGATAGTCGTTCGCGCGATTACTACACACAAATGTACATTTTAAGGTGAGGTTGTGTGAACCTTCGTATTCCACTTTTTGACAATCATTCCATCTGTTATCATTCCGTGGTAATCGCGGTTTGCTTTCTCTCTGTTTCAAACCCTCCTATTGTTTCATAAGTCACAGACAATCAAAAATGTCTTTCACTTAATTCCCTTGCCATGCATTAATTTTGCATATTTTGTAAAAACGGTCAGATACATTCGTGAATCACACTGTGACTAGTCAAATTTTATCAACAGACAAAAGAGGTAACTGGTTGGTACAGCTGTCATATCAATCACCTCCACTCACAGGAGGCATAGGCATAGCTATATTAAGGAATTCTTAACTGTTAAAATTAACAGTCACTTGATTAATTTGTTTGCTGTGATGGGGAAGCTCCATTTTGTCAGGCAGTTTTTGATAGACAGACAGGAAGGGAACATTTGCAACAACAGAGTGGCTATATATGTACAATCTTCCATGAATTTGATATGGCATAAAAGTAATGGAACATACGATGGTCGACAGACATCCGACAACTTACGGCAAAAGAATTCATCATCTCCGGTAGAGCAGTCTTTGGTGCCGTCACAGACAAGACCGGGCCGGATGCACCGCCTTCCCTGCCCCATGCAGTGGTAGCTGTCAGCCGTACAGGGAACGTTCGCTGCAGGAAGAAAACACAAGAACGAAAACATAAAAGAAGCTAATCGTGGGTTCTGAGCTACATCTGAAGGTCACATTGAAATGTGCAATGATCTGTACAGACGGCAATTACTCCGCTCTTCATTTGCTGTGTAATAAAACTCACCCCAACGATGGCATTTCGCCATCTTTAATGGAACATGTCTGGTTGCTGTTCATGCTTGATGACACGCAAGACAGCGAAATTAAAATACTCACTTCTTTAATGACTTGAACAGCTGGTTCTTTTAGTTGTGAATCGTCTTCAACTTCATGAGAGAACTTACGGCATCCGTTTTGTTCCTGTGGTTCTCATAGATGTAAATGTACCCGAGTATTTGGTGTAATTTGAAGTACCGGTATGTGATTCAACAGTCAACAACAGTTAACCGCTGCTTGGATTAGTATTTGAATTAATAAAGACGATCTTGTCTGTTTTAATATACCGTATTCGTGTTTACTTGATCTTTATTCCAATCAACTTCCAGAAAAAAAACAACAACGGAAAAACAGCAACCAATGAACCAAGCATTCAGGAGTCGGACTGGTGTACCCAACTTCCATTGGATTTCGGGTTTCCCGGCTCAACACACCTCCTTCCCTGTTCATCCATAAACCCGAAGGGCTAAGCGCCATAAAAGGGCAAACGAGGCGGCACCTATAAGCCTTGGCTATCGAGCAGCAGCGTATCCAGCTTTTGATGTCAGGGGGGGGGGGGGGGGGGGGGGGGGGGGGCAACCGCACATCCGCGCCGAAATGTAGACATGTTTTTTTCTCCGGACACTTGCCCTCCGTAAAATCAAAAAGCAGGGGGGGGGGGGGGGGGGGGGTACCCATCTTCCAAATGGGGGCGCTCTTCAACACTTACCATTATTATGTATACTATATTATTATATGGACAATTACACGGCGCATTGTAATGGTTGTTGAGTAGGATTGATGTCAGAAAAACTCTATAAACACTTCAAATCATTGCTGACAAAAAAAATGTCAAAAAAGTCCGCCGGGGGGGGGGGGGCAAAGTGCCCCCCCTGCCCCCCACTGGATACGCCACTGCTATCGAGACAGCCAAAGAGCCCTGTACCTTTACGAAGATGCTAACCTGCATGGACTTCGTAGACAGTCCCAACTATTGAGTTAAGCGATGACACTGAGTTCTCAGTGTTGCAGTACTCGGTGCATCAAAGTACTCGTGCTCGACACTTAGTGTCGAAATTGAACTCGATCATCAAAGTACTCGTACTCGAATAGCAGTACTCATATTTCAATAGGGGGCGCTGTTCAAATTCGACGATTATTAACAATAGATTACAGAATGGTGTACCGTATTTTTAACAGGCGGACATTATACCAGTATAATTTTTTTTGGGGGGGGGGGGGTCACGGGGGGGGTTCAACTTATTTTTTAGGAATGTGTATGATAATTTTTTTTTGACAGAACTGGGAGGGGGGGGGGGGTTACCCCCCCCCCCCCCCTGGATCCGCGCCTGCCTGACCCTCTGATCATGAGTCACAAACCCTAACCACACTACGGCACACAGAAAGGAGTTTGATCACTGCTTGCTCAATTGGAAGTTGGTTGCTGCCTCGGCAAATAATTTAGAAGACATAATCTAACCTTTGAAGCGCATTTCTGGTGCTGCACATGGCTACCCGAAAATAAAAACGTCAAACTTCAATTTGGAGATTGACGGAGTCTCTATAGTCCTTGGAGTTAATGAAACACATGCCTGTCATCTAAAAATACACGTTTTATAGCGGTTTTGTCTTTGCACAGACGTAATAAAATTATATTCTGAATTATCGAAAGAACGGTTCGTGGCTAGACTGTACGAATCATTAATAATTTTCTGCATTAGTAACAAAATATGCTTATTTTCTTTAAAAAAAAAGAAGCATTTTGTGGCTTTTTGGTCTTTGCAGGGCATAATAAAAGTTTGCTCTATGCTAACGAAAGAATGGTTCGTGGCCACATTTTAAGGACTCTCCTGCATGAAAGTAGGCCCCCTATATGACAGGAAATAGTGAGGTGATTACAATCAGTTTTGGCAAACACAAATTAGAAAAAGTACTCTAAGGATACCAGTATAAAATAGGTCCTGGTAAGAAGAGATTGACGGAGCCTCTAAAGTCATTGGAGTTAATGTAATACATGCCTATCATCTAAAAATACACGTTTTATGGCTGTTTTGTCTTTGCGCAGACGTAATAAAATTATGTTCTGAATTATCGAAAGAATGGTTCGTGGCTAGACTGTACGAATCATTAATTTTCTGCATAAGCAACATAAGCTTATTTTCTAAAATAATAATGCATTTTGTGGCTTTTTGGTCTTTGCAGGGCATAATAAAATTTGCTCTGTCATTTTTTGGTCCCATTTTAATAGTTTATAAAATTAGGCAGCTGCTGAACGGCAGAGGGAATTGCAGCCGCCCCCTCTAAATCTAATACTGTAGAAGGAGGCTTGTTGGAAATGAGAGGGTGAAATTGTTGTCCAGTTGTCTTTGATTAAAACAGTTGTTCTTCTCGTTTCTACTCATGAATATTAATTTGTGATGACAATTTTGTTTAAAGCCAGCCATCCAGTCAAAGTATGAGAAGCAGAAAAAACTGCCTAATATGGGAGACGTGATCCACTTTTTTTTGGTTCACATTATGACTGCTCAAAAACAGAAACAGTGTCGGTAGACTTCAATTTGGAATTTGACGGAGCCTCTTCTAAAAATACATTTTTTTTTATGGCTTTCTTGTTTTTGCAGGGCATAATTAAAAGTTTGCTCTGAGCCAACGAAAGAATGGTTCGTCGGTACACTGTACGAACTGTTGAAACTTCTCCGTTTAGGTATGAGAGCAAAACTGGTCAGGTACCATTGCAATCAGTTATGGCGAAAAAAAGAGAAGTGTATGAAATAAAATAATTCTTGTTATTTCGCCCTGGGGTTGTGGTGCGTGTGCCCTTGGGCAAAGCACTTAATTTGTCACTCATTGGGCTCACCCAGGATTTTTTTTGTAGCGGGGGCAAAGCAAATTAATTGTCCCCCAAAATCCTTGTACTCCCTCTAGCATATTCTCAATTGATCATTATTTTTTTGGGTGGGCGGGGGACATTTGCCCCACCCAAAAACACCCCACCGCCAGTGACACCCCTGCAGACGCCCATTTTGTTAAATGTGTATTAAATTAATAGCAAATATGACTTCACACCTCTTTTTCTTTCTTTTTCTCCTCCCCCCTTGGCTTTTCCGGGGGGCCAAGCGCCCCCTTGCCCCCCCCCCTCGCTACGCCCATGTCGAATGCAACAACAATGGAAACTGAGAGATTAGTGCGGTAGTTTCAAAAGGGGTATACGAGGCGCATAACGCGCGGAATGAGATTAGTGTGGAAATTTTAAACTAGGCAGGAGGCACATGTCGCGCAATGTTTAGAATTCTGAAAGAAAAGAATTGGGGAGAAACCTCTTTCATGCAGGCACTGATGAAGTCGCACAGAAAAATGAAGGATTACGGGGTATATTGCAAAAGTGGCATTTTTTGGGCAGATTTCCGGCAGAATTCTGCAAAAATGGCTATTTGACAGAAAAACATAGCAAATTTGAAAAAAAAAGGTACATTTGTTTAAAAATGCTTCAACTTTTCAAACAAACCCTTGCATAATGGGACAGGTTGGCTGGTGTAGGTGCTGAGGTTCACTGGGAACCGGACTTCAGCTTCGTCGTGAGGCAACCGCGTTTTGCCTGAAATTTACGCAATAACGTCATAACATCTTTATGTGACTAGGCCTATACATTGTTTATAATGTATTTTTAACCCTAATTAAGGCAATACTACAACATCTGATTGTGATTTTTAAGTGTTGATAGTGTATTTCGAGTAATTCTGGGGAATTTGGCAGATTTTTGATAAATCTGACAGATTTTTGAAGTGCATTTAGCAGAATTTGGCAATGACCTTACGGTCACCCTGGTACTCGTACTCGGAAGTAAAAGCACTCGTACTCGGAGACCTGTACTTGTACTCGGAAGTACTCCTACTCGTACTCGGCAACCTAAGTACTCGACTATATACAACACTGTTCAACAAATTATGTTTGCATTTTACCACGGAAAATTAAATCTCTTACAGTAAATGACTGAGCGCTTGTGTTGAAAACCAAAACTACACCACGAGGATTCGAACCCGAACCGCGAGTTTGGCGGATAACGAACCTAACCACTTGGCTTTTATTCCTTTAAAAAAATTTTTTTTTAAGCTTAAATTGAATTGATAATTCCAATGAGATATTGCACGGAAAAAAACGGCCAACGATAAACGACCAATTAATTAATCCTGCCTCTAATTCGAATCTGAGGCCAGCGGGACCTAGTTACGCATGCGCTCTTGCAACAGTGCAGTTTATGAATAATAATTTCAACAGCTGTTCAGATTGACCGTACACAAAATGTGCGTGTGCACCGGATACGTGTATACACGGTGTACAGCGAGTGTCGCACCGTCACGACAACGCAATCATGAATGACACGTGAAACAAGACTTGGAAAACCACGGGTTTTGCGATCCAGTGAGAGGAAAAGACGCAAAATAGCAGACATTATGATAGAACGTAGGAACTGCAGTGTGGCCCGTCCGCGAATGTATATTTTTTCCAAACGACATCCGTTTCCCATCTTCTGATTGGTCCATTACATGCATATCTAATGCCTTGTTCTCCAAAACACAATCCCAAGAGATGCTTTGCGTCTTGTGAGAAATGTTCCTTCCTCACTCTAGTTATTTAAAAGGTAAAATGAGAAGAAGTGAAAAACGCTCACTGAGATTCGAACTCGGATCACCGAGTCAGGACTACTTCAAACCAATCCACAAATCAGTTGCCAACCGTCGGTGATTTAAACACCATTACTTATAACTTATTCTCTAAAGCCCTGGACATCATGAATATGCATAACGCAGAGATAGAGAGCGCGCCTTCTTTTGATATTGTCGGATCTCGTTTAGGAAAATATAATTCACAGCCCGGCCGGCCCAACCTCGTTTCCATAGGTACGATGTTGCTGTGCCATGTTGTTTCCCATCATGCCTTGCGTGATCTTAACCCCTGAAAATCGAAATTTGAAAAAGCACGTATGTACCAACTTTAAAACAAAACCTAAGCC